CAGGGGATCTTCCCGACTCAGGGATCGAACCCAGGTCTCCCTCATTGCAGGCATCTGAGCCACCATCTGAGCCACCAGGGGAGCCCCGAGATACTAGGGTGAATATGACAAAGGCCCCATCCCCAGAGAATTCAGCCTAGTGTAAGAGGGAGCCAGGTATTACAAAATAACAGTTACAAACTGTGTTACCTCGGAGTAGATAACAGACAAAAGATTCTTATAAATTGAGTACCAACCACAGGAAAGGCACTGTGTATGTGCAACCCAGATGTTAACCGGATACTCCTTAAGTTCTGGGTTCACTGAGTCTGATCCCCCGCAAATCCCTGGCCTGGTGGCCTGAAAGCCTTCTTCGATCCCCAACGGCCGAGCGCTGTCTTCCCAGCCTCCGGGCTCCTGTGTCCCGCACGCGGGCCTTGGTCCCAGGTCACATGGAGGCTCTTGGCAAACTCAGCCTCTCTTCTGAAATTCTGGCAAGATTTTGGGGTAGGGCAGAGGTTGAGGAGGGTTACTTTCCACACTCCTTAGCAAACAGTCAAGTGAAGAACAATTGTAATTCAAATATCCTCCCTGGTTCTCATCACAGGGCGCGTCCCTTATCTAACCCAGTCCCAGCCTCCCTCCACAATCTCATTTTTCTCCCCTCCATCCTTCCCACTCAGATTGTCTCCAAAGTTCTAAATTTTCCATCCTCTATTCCACTTTGAGAGCAACCAACACCCATGTTGTTGAAAGGCTTACCAAGTTTGAACAGGGTGTTTTTCCAAATAAAAACTAAGAGGGATTCTGATGTAGTCTAGATAATATTTCTCCACAGACACAGAAAACAAACATCTGGTTACCAAAGAGGAAAAGGGGCAGGGCGGATAAATTAGGAGTTTGGAATCAACAGATACACACAACCATATATAAAATAGTAAACAGCAAGGACCCACTGCGGAGCACACGGAACTACAGTCAATATCTCGTAATAGTCTCTAATGGTGAAGAATCTGAAAAAGGATATATATATAAATGAATCATTTGTTGTATACCCATACCTGAAACTAACACAACATTATAAACCAACTATACTTCAAAAAAAAAAAAAGATAATATTTCTCTACCTGGCTGGCTATATATTTCATCAAATTTTGCAACTACTCTTGGACATATCACTGAACACAGTAAAACTCAGTTCATCAAAGACAACACTAACACTGTGTCATAGGTTGCTAATGTATGCAAAGCACTTAGCATTTAGAACACAGTAATAAAAACTTAATGTTAGCCATTATCATTTTTATCATTATAACATTCATTTTATCTCTTCTGTAGCAACATTCACTACCGCGGTAATATCTTCCAGTCTCATGCCTTTATTAAACACCACCTACACGCTGAAAAACCCTGGATTTCTCTCTAGCCTTGACCAATGTTTCCGAACTCAGCTCATACCAAACTATTTGACACCTCCACTGGCTACCTAACAAGCATATCAAACTTGACATAATCATATCTGAACTTGCGCTTTTCCCCCACAAACCTCCTCTCACGGTCTTCTTATCTCAGTAACTGGCAATTTCATTTCTCCTTTGGCTCGGGCCAGAAACCTCGCCCCATTCCAAATGATTCCAAAATCACTTTTTCTTTTTTTCTTACACCTTAAATTCAATCCATTCAGATATCTTGTCAGCTCTGTTCAAAAATATCCACAATCCAACACTGCCCTGCCCCCTCGCCTTGGTCCAATCACCAGCGCCTCTTGACAAGATCATGGCAAGAGCCTCCTAACTCATCTCCTTGTTTCCACCCCATGTTCCGTCAGTCTGTTCTCATCACAAAGCGACTCAGCTCGTGCCTTGCCTTGGCTCAGCTCCCAGTGGTTTTCCATCTCCCTCGTAGTGAAGCTGAGGCCTTCAAGATGGTCTTCCAGGCCCTGTAACGTCTGACCTCCTCCAGTGCGATTATCTTTCCCCTCATCTCTTACTACACTTCTGACTCTCCCCACAGCTGCCGCGAGCTGCTTCTCAAAGGCGTCAACACTCCTTCACCTGTCTCAGGACCTTTTCCCTTGTGGTTCCTTCTATCTGCAACACTTTTTCCCAGAGAATGTCATGGGTCTCAATCCTTTTTTCAGGCCTCTGCATAAATCCACCGCATATAAACAGTAATCTCCATCTTCACTTTAATATCTCCCTTATTCTTCTTCATAGCACTTACCACCATGTGCAATATTATGTTGTTAAGTCACTTTAGTTGTGTCCAGGCTTGCCAGGCTCCTCTGTCTCTGGGATTCTCCAGGTAAGAATACTGGAGAGGGTTGCCATTTCCTCCTCCAGGGCATTTTACTGACCCAGGGATCAAACCCACATCTCTTATGTCTCCTGCATTGGCAGGTGGGCCCTTTACCGCTAGCATCACCTGGGAAGCCCTCTGAAACCACAGAACTATCTACAAAAGCAGGCTCCTGCTCAGGACACTCTGGGCTGCAGAAGTAGGCACACACCCAGGCACGCCAGTTCTGTGCAAGGCTCCAAGGTCACACGTGTGCGGGTGCACGATCCCCGCTCCCTGGGGGACCAACTTGACCGGCTCTCATGGGCAGACCTGAGAACACTGCCGGAGGGGGGTCTCCTGGGAGAGGACATGCATCCTGACCAAGCACACCCAAGTTCAAGGCTTCCTGGCCTAGAGCTGTAGGCCTGGGCTCCCAGAGCCGCCTCCCCAGAGCTGGGGGTCCCTCTGAGGGGCCCCACATGGCACATCCCCCTGACACCTCCCTTACATATGCGCATTATTCTCATGATGCTAGAATGAAAGAACGAGGAGGGCAGAGACTGCCTATTTTTTGTTGGATGTGTAATCCCTAAGACGACGTCCAACATGTACCAGGTATTCAGTAAATAATTGTGGAATGACAGATGAATTTAATCAAAATTAAGAAAGGCGGGGATTTCAAGCAGTTCACCAATACCTAATATGAACAGAAGCCAAGATGAAGACTGAAAAAAGTTCACTGCATTTGTCAACTAGCGAATGACTGAATAGAGGCCTCTAGTATTGGGGAGAGAGACACTGAGAACTCTTCTGAAAATGGATAGTGGTGATGACTGTACAACACTGTGAATTTACAGAAAGTAATTCATTTCGACGTGGTCTGTTTTTCAAATGTAGTGTAAAGTAAAATTTACCATATTTTTTACAATGTTTCCATGTATCAGTTCATTCCATTCAAGGATTATTCTGCCAACAACTAATGACAACTGGATGCCATCAATTCTAATTGTTAAAGTGCTTTTCCTCGGTTATCTCTATGGGTAATGTCTCACGTCAGGTCACCTGGAAAACAGACCGAGCAGATCTGCAGGCAGGGAGTTTGTTAGGAGCGACATCTGTGAGGCACTGAAGGAAGCAGGTCTGGACACAGAGACAAGCTAAACTGCACTGAAGCTACAACACAGGCCTCAACGGAGGGCCTCCGGAGCTGGAGTGGTCCTGGAGGCTTTTCCCAAACTGAGGCAAGGGGCTGGGCCTTTCTACCTTACATCATCAGATCAGTGGGCGCCAGTCACCTAGGGGAGGGAGGGGAACTCTGCATAAGGCAGCTCCTTTCAGCTGTGGGCTCCTCTTGGAGAGAGACTTGGCTATGAGTGGTCGTCAGTGACACTCCCAACAGCTGGATAAATGAGCAGCCTGATCCTAAGAGGGCCAACCTGGACAGTACACCCTAGTGTCCACTACAATTAACATAGACAATAAAGCAGCTAGTCTCTTACCTTTTAAAAAATATTTTTCCCCATTTATTTTTATTAGTAAAAAAGATTTTATACCTGAGAATAATGTGATACAAGATACATTTGAAGACAGTTTTATACGTTAAGTCTCACATAAGAAGCCAATACACAGAGTCCAGAAATGCCATTTTTGCTTTTTATTAGTTGATTACTCCCTTTCTGACAAACTTGGTCCCCAAAATGCCAGTTTTGAGTCACAGATGTACAAATGTCCAGGCATGCATGTGTGTGCCATGTCTAGTCACTCAGTCGTGTCCGACTCTTTGTGATCCCATGGACTGTAGCCTGCCAGACTTGTCTGTCCATGGGGATTCTCCAGGCAAGAATACTGGAATCGGTAGCCTATCCCTTCTCTAGGGGATCTTCCCAACCCACTGATCAAACCCAGGTCTCCCACATTGCAATTGGATTCTTTACTGTCTGAGCCACCAGTAAAGCCCAAGAATACTGGAGTGGGCAGCCTATCCCTTCTCCAGGGGATCTTCCCGATCCAGGAATCGAACGGGGTCTCCTGCATTGCAAGCAGATTCTTTACCATCTGAGCTACTAAGGAAGCCCATAAACACCCAGGCATGGCACTACAGATCTAAAGAACTCAGATTTGATGATAATTGAGTCTTTACTCAAAACCTTAAGACCATATTCAGTCTAAAAGAAATTTCCCTAAAAAGAATCAAAAGCTGATTACAGGAGCCCTAACTGGAGATTAAATGAATAATTCCTCTCTCTTTGCAGACTTCAGTCTTGTAAAGCTTGCTTTGTACATTAATGTCAACAATTATCTCACAAACCTTCGACATGATGGTAGCTGAACCATGGTCCAATGTATAAACAATGCTTGGTGGACATGGCTTTACAGACCGCGTGTCAGTCCCCTAAGAGTCAGAGGTCCCAGATTAGAAACCAGTGCTTTGAAGCATCCAGTGCTCCTCCACATCCGGCCACAAGCCACACACCATTCTCACCCAAAGTGCCCTGCAGTAACTACCACATCACATCTTCAGCATCTGCTATCCTAGTCTCTCACTCTCCTTCTCCTCTGAGCTACAGTTTAAGCTGAGCAAAGCTTTCAATTGTCCACACATCTATGGCTACAACTCCTGATCGATTTAGCTTTCCCAAAGACAGGAACTGGGTGTTTCCTCTTTTAATATTCCCTATGAAAACCCCTTAGAAAGCACTTAATAAAAGTGCACAAATTATGGAATTATTGATAAACAATTATAGGATGACAGAAGTATGTCTTTAATGTTTCAATATTTAGGAACATATACAAAACATTGAACAAGTCAGTTTTGACTACCGTATCAAAACTCTAATATAGTGTGCAACAAAATACATTATTATAATTAAAATAATTCTATTTGTTTTCCAAAGGTACATTTACTTACTAGATTAACTTTTTAAAGGGGGAAGCAAAATAATGTCATAAAGTAATATTTCATTATATAGCAATAGTTTGATTGGTTATATTTTGAAAAAAGAATGATACATTTTCTCTTATTCTTTCAAGAAAAGGATCTGTAAGATTTAAGTGATCTCCAGGAAAATGTTTCCACTGTTTCAGCTGTGACATGGAGAGAGGTTTCAGGGAGTCAGACTTCTGGTGATGTGGACCAAGCTGACAACTTCTAGACACAGGGAATTTTTCCAGTGAATCACCTGAAAAAAGTAAAATAAGAAAATCCTGAGGCCAATCAATATTCTATTATACACAATACCTTTTAATTATATAATGAGTTTGTGTGATTTATATATTTGACTACCATAGTTCATGTTAAGATGAGCAAATTCAATTGATTCATTCCTTCTACAAATATTTATAAACTGTTTATTATGTGCTAATTTGAGCAAAGAGGGCCAAAGTGGTCAACAAAAATAGACATGGCCTCTGACTTAAAGGACTTTATGATCTAACAAGAGAACTACACATTAAACAAATAATCATCCAGAGAGATAGATGTATTATAGGGCCACAATTTCTTATCTAAAAGCCTGTGGGGCCAGATAGGTTTCCAAATTTAGAATATAATTGTAACAACATGGGATAACACTTCATAATCAAATTCATTAATCAGCTACAGCAAGAACAGTTGTACAAAAGAGATTAAAGACCATAGATGAATTCACATAAATTTAGCTAAGGTTTCTGCCACCAAATAAGATTGAAGCAAATTTATGAAAGTGAAGTGAGGGAAGTTGCTTAGTTGTGTCCAACTCTGCAACCCCTATATAGTCCATGGAATTCTCCAGGCCAGAATACTGGAGTGGGATCTTCTCCAGTATTCTCCAGGGGATCTTCCCAGCCCAGGGATCGAACCCAGGTCTCCCGCATTGCAGATGGATTCTTTACCAGCTGAGACATAAGGGAAGAAGGTGCGGGAGGGGCGGGGGGAGGGTGGCCCACAACTTTTGGTCTTTCAAGCTTTCTAGATTTCAAAACTGGAAATAAGGAACTATGGAGCCACATTACAAATAGAGCCAAGGGTATGAAGCTAAGACAGAGAGGGCTATGAGCATGTGTAACAGGAAAAGCTGACCTGTGTTACTGAGATCTGAAGGATGACAGAGTGGCCACAACGGCAAAGCAGGAAGGCCCTGAGCTCACCTTCTCCCGTGAGCACACCAGAAGTACTACTATGCAATTGTTACAAATTGCAGCTTTTTATGAGAGGGATGTGAAGACTGACAGGAGAGATTTTCCACAATTAAAGACAGAAGAAACTACTAGAAGATGGGTAGGAGAGGCAGAGATGCAGTCAGGACCCACCCCCTGGGTAGGTGACCCACAAAGGGGAGGATAATCACAATTGCAGAGGTTCTCCCCAAGGAGTAAGGGGCCTGAGGCCCACATCAAGCTCTCCAGCCTGGGGGTCCTGCACAGGGAAGATGAGCCCCCAAAACATCTGGCTTTGAAGACCAGAGGGGATTACATATGGGGAAGCCAGAGGACTATAGGAAATAAGAGACTCCACACTCAAAAGGCTCATGCAAATCTCACATGCTAAAAGTCCCAGGGCAGAAGCAATGATTTGAAAAGAATGAAAAGAACCGGTGTCAGATCCACTTGCTGATCTTGGAAAGCCTCCTGGAGAAGCAGGAGCTAACTGTAATCCCCCTGGGAACAGCCATTCTGGGGAGCTCATTCTTCCCACAAGGGCATTGATGTTGGCGAGCACCATTTTGAAGTTCTCCCTCTAACCTAGCAGAACCAGGGGCCTACCAGCCCACCAGCAAGCCAACACCAGTCCCAGAAACCATAGGCCGAGCAGCTAGACAAACAGGAACCCAGCCCCACCCACCAGTAGGCCACACTCCCTCTATGACCATCTGGGGCACACAGCCGGCAGAACCAGGATGTGGCACTGCCAGTGAACGGGCTGGAGCCACTGTATGCGGCGAGTCTGGCAGCCAGCCAGGCCAGGGACCGGCTGCAACTCCCAGGGCATCCACTCTGTCTGCCTGCCACAACAGAAGGAGCCACACAGCCACCATATGAGGCGAGTCTGGCAGCCAGCCAGGCCAGGGACTGGCAGGGACTGGCTGCCTGCCACAACAGAAGGAGCCACACAGCCCCCAGAGGGGGCGCCCGAGATACAGCTACGGTGACCGAGGGGAGTGCGCTGCGGGGCCCCACTGCATGACTCCTACACAAGGCCACTTCTCCAAGATCAGGAAAAACCCAACCTATTTAATACACAAAAGTAAACACGGAGGCAAAGTGAGGAGACAGAAGAATATGTTCCAAACAAAGAAATAAAATGAAACCCCAGAAGAAGTACTGAGAGAAGAAGAGATAAGCAATCTACCCAATAAAGAGTTCAAGGTAATAATCATAAAGATGCTCAACAAACTCAGGAGATGAATGCTGAGAAGTTTAACAAGAGCTAGAAAACAGACAGAAGAACCAAACAGAGCAGAAGATACAAAAGCTGAGGCTGCTTTGACAGTAGAATAATACCTCAAAAGTACTAACCAAAAAAAACACCAAACCCTTAAAAAACCCTATCAACTAGAACTGTACACTTAGCAAAGAATTTAAGAAAGAGAAAAAACACTTTGAAAAAATACTGAGAGACCCTAACCACTAATAGACCCTTGTTGGGGGAAAAAACAAAAAATGAAAAGACAGTAGAAATGAATCAAAATATCAGTAATTATAATTAATGTAAATAGACTGAATGCTCTAGTTGAAAGAAAATATCAGACTGGATAAAAAAGAAAATCCAGGCTCATGCTATTTAAATGAGAGTTATCGAAAATGATACAGAAAGACTTAATGTAAAAGAATGGGAAAAGATGTATCAGATAAATACTAACAATGAGAAAGTCAGTGTAATATACTAACAGAAGACAAAATGAAAGCAAAAGACATTAGGGAAAAAGCAATCCCTACATAGTAAAAATATAAATAATAATAAATAATAATGAAAACATTTCACAAACAACATATATAATATATAAAGCAAACATTGACAGAACAATGAGAAACAGACAAATTCACTGTCATACTGTAAGATTTTAATGTATTTCTTAATAACAGACACATCTAACAAAGAATTAGGTTATTAACGGAAAAATGGGCAAATGTTATAAACAGGTGGTTCACATAAAGAAAATAGAGCTCTTAACCATAGAAAAACATTCTCAACTTCACTCATAACAAAAGAAAATTAAATTAAATTAAAACTAGACAAAAAAACCATTTTTTACTCTCAGACTGGCAAAAACCCAAACATTTGATAATCCTAAATTAGGAAAGCTGTGGGGAGATAGTATACTGTTGGTGGGGTATAAATAATACAACCTCCACTCCAGTGGAGGGCACCTTAGCAGGACCTATCTAAATTACAAATGCACATATTGTCTGACAAAGCAACACTGATAATTAACCTTACAAGATATTTGAACATAAGGAAAAAGATGTATGAATGAAGATGCATACTGACTGAAAAAAACCTAATTACACGGCTGTGGGGTTAGATGAATAAATATGGTCTATTCATTCAATGGAGGATTATACACTGAGGGGAAAAAAAGAATGAGGAAACTCTTTCTGTAATGATATACTATTAAGTGAAAAAGGTACAGAAGGTACAGAATCCTACATATACTACACTATCCCTTATGGAGGATGGGGGGAACTGGGCAATAATATTTATTCAGAGTTCCTTGCATATGCATAAAAATACATCTAGGATACACAAGAAACTAGTAACAGTGGTTTCTTATAGGGTAGCAGGACTAGAAACTAGACAGATGAGGGCATTACAGAAGGAAGTGTTTCCACCATATATATTTTATACTTTCAAATAGCTTTCACATGTAAACACTGCCAATTTTCCAGTTAAATTAGTAAATTTTTAAATCTTTAAAATAAGAAAAAAATAATTTGGTAACAGAAACTTTGACTAATATGGCAGAACTCTAAACTAAGTAATTAAGAGAATACAAATGATTTTCATGCACAAGAGAAACATTTATTAACTGAACACACCAGGCCATACACCAAGTCTCTACAGTTGCCAAAGAATCAATATCATGTAGACCATACTTGGGACTACAGTGCAGTAGCCAGAATTCAATGACAAAAACTAAAATACACTTTAAAACATACTTTTAAATACCTCATGAGCCAAAGAAGAAATCATAATGGAAAATAAAAAATATTTAGAACTGAAAAATAAAAAGATGGCATATCAAAATCATGAGATTCAGCTAGTAGAAAATTTACAGCCTTAATACCCATTTTAGAAAAGAAGACTGAAAGTCATTAAGCTAAGGATTTAACTTTAGAAAATAAGGGAAAAAATTAGATAAATACAGGGCAAAAGAAAAGAAATAATTAGAGTAGAAATCACAAAAATGGAAAAAACATACAATAGAGGAGATTAATGTTGACTATATAAAGTTTAAATTATTTCATGCTAGTAGTCTTGCACAGTTTCACTTCTTAAACTCATCTCAATACAATTATCAAGTGACTTCCAACTTCCAGACATTGCTTGCTCAAGTACTACTTCCAGTCGAGTTCCTATCTGAATAGTGTTCATTCTGGACGGTTGACACTCTCAGCCTCATTTAAGCAGCACAAGCAGAGTGTGAAGTGCTGAGAACTATGGCGGCTCGTGCGTACTGTCCAGAAAGTCTGACCTCATCAGGAGTGAGTGGTACACAAAAATGAACAGCAGGATTAGCCTGTCGTGTTTGTGTGTGTGTGTGAAATAGAAATAAGGATTAAAAACATTTCTCTAATTCTTAAATCATTATCATCAGGATTTGAATGATTTTTACTAAACAAGTCAAATTTTCCACAATAGATTCTAAATAGGCTAAATTGAGAGAACTAACAGGGTTCTAATTTAAATTTTTGCTCCTAGAGTAATGGAAATAAAAATAAAAATAAACTAAAGGAACTAATTAAAAGCAAAAGGAAACTATAAACAAAAAGACAACCCTCAGAATGTTAAAAAATAATTGCAAACAAAGCAACTGACAAAGGATTAATCTCCAAAACATACATACAAGCAGTTCAAGCAGCTCAGTATCAGAAAACAAACAATCCAATCAAAAAAACGGGTGGAAGACCTAAACAAACATTTCTTCAAAGAAGACAAACACATGAAAAGATACTCAACATTGCTGATTATTAGGGAAATGCAAATCAAAACTACAATGAGTTATCACCTCACACTGGTCAGAACGGCCATCATCAAAAAAATCTACCGACAATAAATGCTGGAGAGGATGTGGAGAAAAGGGAGTCCTCTTGCACTGTTGGTGGGAAAGCAAATTGATACAGCCACTATTCCTTTAAAAACTAGGAATTCAACTACCATATGACCCAGCAATCCCACTACTGGGCATAAACCTTGAGAAAACCATAATTCAAAAAGACACATGTACCCCAATGTTCACGGTAGCACTATTTACAAGAGCCGGGACATGGAGGCCACCTAGATGTCCCCTGACATAAAAGAAGTTGTGGCACATATATATAATGGAATGTTACTCAGCCATAAAGAGGAAGAAATTTGAGTCAGTTGAAGTGAGATAGATGAAACTGAAGCTTGTTATACAGGGTGAAGTTAAGTTAAAAAGAGAAAAATATCAGATATTAATGCATACACATGGAATCTAGGAAAACGGTACTGACGAACCTATGTGCAGGACAGGAGCAGAGACACAGATGTAGAGAACAGACGTGGACACAGCTGGGGAAGGAGGGGTGGGTATGAACTGCGAGAGCAGCACTGACAGATAAACACTCCATGGTGGAACAGCTAAGCAGGAAGCAGCTGACCGCACAGGCATCTCAGCTGGGTGCTCTGGGATGACCTGGGGGTGGGGTGGGGAGCGGATGAGAGGGCGGCCCAGGAGGGAGGGGGTATACGCATACTTATAGCTGAGTCATACAGCAGAAACCAACACAACACTGGAAAAGCAATTATCCTCCAATTTAAAAAAAAGGGGGGGGCCAAAAAAATTTTTTTTTCTCAAATACCCATGTCACAGCTGCCCTAGGACCCGAAGAAAAAATAAAATTAACATATGCAAGTGGTCAATATTTTAGTCATTCTGTTTTTAACTTCATCATCACAACAGAATTAAAATACAACTAACCTGTATGATTTTCTCCTGTACATTCACAGTCAAGCAGGTCATGAGTAACGCAATGTGAACTTTCATGCAATGTGAACAAATTTTTAAGTTCTTCCACTGAAAACTGAATATGATCAGATGTCTTGGATAGGTCTACAACTGCCCCAGAAAGACCTTGTTTACTGATCTGTCTTTGATAGATCTTTTCCTCTATTGTACCTGAAGAGAAAACATTCATTAGATTTCCTTCAGATCTTTACATCTGTCATTTTGGTAGTAGATACGTTTATTACTATACTAGCTAACAAATAGCCACCAATATTCCTGGTACTGAAGTTTAACATACAAAACACCTTTATTTACTCAAAGAGAATACATCTTTTTTCATACTGGAGGGTTACTACCTGTGGTTAGGAGTCTGTAAATATGTACAGGGTGCTTCTGACCATCTCTCCACACTCTAGACATTGCCTGTAGAAAATAAATGAGAACTCTGAGAGTACAATAGAAACTAATAACCTTCTCCACACAAGCAACTTGTATTCATAAGTTTAAGACTAGGAATTCTAGATTTCACTTACAGCTTCAAAAAACAAAGCCCAGGCATACCTAAGCATTCTCCACTTCAATTTTTTTTTCCCCGAGTTAAAGAAAGGGATGAATGAACACTGGCTATGGTACTGTAAAATAACTACAGGGTGCCAGGCAACAGTGAGAGAGTCTATCTGCATCAAAAAAAAAAAAAAAATGGGATAGCAAGTTTAGGAAGTAAGAATGCAAAGAACCAAGTATAGCATGGGCATGGAGGGTTTATTCTCGGTCCAAAAGGCTAATGATTCAACTCTAAGGAACCCTAGGATACCTGCAATCAGCTCAGGCTCTAGGCAGATCCCTGAGGTTTTAAGATTTATCAGTAATACTATTTAGTAAAAGATTGATGTTCAAACCCCGAACATTCCAAAGAAAATTCTGGCCTTCAAGCAGCTTCTGAAAACCCCTAGAATATCCTGCCTGATAAAAGCATCTTAGGTTACCTGGGGTCTTGGGCCACACCAAGTTGTTTATGTTAACGATGTGATTTAGGTGGGGACTTGACCAGTTTGACCTTTGCAAAGGCCAATCACACAGGCATCCATGCCTACATGATCAACCTCCCAACAAAAAATCTAGACATCAAGGCTTAAGTGAACTTCTCTGGTTGACAAAATTCCATGGGTGTTGTCACTCACTGATGCTAGGAAAATTAAGTGTTGTCCATACAATTCCAGAGGGAATGGAAAACTGGAAGCTTGTACCTGGTCTCTCCTGGACTCTGCCCTATGTACCTTTCACCTGCGTTGATTTTACTCTGCATCCTTTCACTGTAATAAACCCTAACTTGAATGTAACTGCTTCTCTTGATTCTGTGAGTCCTTCTAGTGAATCACTGAACCTGAGGGTTGTCTCCCAGTCCCCTAACACAGCTACCAGGTGAGGTGTAAATCTATAGGTAGAAACCTCAAAATCCGTGAAGATGGACTGTACTCTGAAGAAAACCAAAAGCTGCTTCTAAAATATTTTCCTAAGTAAGCTAATTTTGTATCTTCACTATACCTTGCACAAACACCGATCCTGGCACCTGTAACACCTTACTGTCCTCCCCTGATGGTCATGAGCATCCTGAAGACCCAACTAACTACAGAGTCAAGTAGGGCCTGGAGACATACAGGCTTGGGTATGAATCCTGGCTGTGCCTCTTACAAGCTTTGTGACCTGGAACAAGCTTCCATACCTTCATCTGCAAAATAGAGCTTACAACAAGCACACTTGTAGGACTACTGTGAGGATTAAACAGATGTAAAGCATTTAGTAGAATGCTTATTTTTACAAAATAAAGGCTGAATATGCAGCAGTTATTATACTTCATCATCACCCTCATATCTCCATAGGCACCGTATCCCCCTTCAGCATTCAATAATGTTTGTTTAATATAGAAACAGTCCTACCTGGATATCAGTAGCTGGATTCCAATCAATGTCATAGAGGATTAAGTGAGATCCTCCAATAAGGTTAAGCCCCACACCACCAGCTTCTGAACTTAACAAAAAAATAAAATCAGAAGAGTATTTACTATTAAAGCCATCAACAATTTTCTGCCTTTGAGAGATTGGGGTCTGTCCATCAAGTCTTGTATAAGCATATCCATGACGCTTGCAGACTTCTTGTAAAATATCCAAGGTTCGTGTATAGTTGGATACCAACACAACTCTGTCAATCAAAAAGAAAGAATTTTCATATAAAACTTAGAAGTAGTATTCGATTTTTTTAATTAGAGAAAAATACTAATATTATCACTGATATTTATAGAATAACCAACAGAACTTTGTGTAATTAAAACATAGATTTTCTTTCAAATTCCAGTTTAAAGTCAATATCTAAGAGGGGATTCCCTGGAGGTCCAGTGGTTAGGACTCTGTGCTTTCACTGCCAAAGGCATGGGTTCAATCCCTGGTTGGGGAGCTGGGATCCCACAAGGCACATGGTGTGGCAAAAAAAAGAAATCTAAGAGACTTTCAGTATAAAGATAATGGAGTAAATGCCATTCTGCTTCCGTTACCTTTCTTAAGTCACCCTAAGAACAGCAGGAGAATAAGAAACACAAACTCTCTTTGGTAAAACAAGCAGAGATTTATATATGAAAACAGAGAGTAGTGGAATGGTGACCTGTTTAGGAGTGAAACCTAAGTTCCCAAAGAGGGAGGTACAAGTTCATTCACACAGCCACATCTTGTAAAGGCAGTGCAGAAGGAAGGGGTTTAGACTGCAGCTATTACAAGAGCAAAAGTAAGTAGAACCCAGGTCCTACTCCCATGAAACAAGTTGACTTCGCTTTCTCAACTAGAATACTTACTCTCTGTGGAAAATAAATCAAAGAAGCTTAGACCAGGGAACTCTAGAAGGCAGAGAGATAGCAACAAACCAAAATGCAAGTCTGAGTTTCTCATGTCTCTCACCCTCTAGCAGGCTAGCCCAGGCTTCTTCACATGGTGACAAAAAGGTTCCAGGCACCCCGAGGGAGGGCAAGCCCCCTGTTGTGCCACGTCTGCCAGCATCTCATGGGCCAATCCAAGTCAGGGGGCTGAGCTCAGAGTCAGGATGGGAGAGGACCCAAAGTCACACAAAAAGGAACAAGGATGGAGGGAGGGAGAACTCGAGGCCATTTTTGTAATTTACCAACATTCCTATAAAAAGACTCTGCCTGTACTAACATAGGGACAACATTATTACTATTGTTAGTAGTATAGGAAGAACACTCCAGTACTAATGTTTCAGTCATTTTTTGCCCTTTCAATACTATTGTGTGAATGAATAACATTATCTAAACATAGTTTCTCTGATACAGCTTTACTGGCCTGGAGGAAGTCTGGTTTAGAATATTTTTCCCCAACAAGTTCCTAGAAGACTAGATGGAGATTGACGGGAGCAGTGATTATCTTGGTAAGGAGTCTTGGACAATCCCCTTTCATAGGCTGAGAGCTCCCCCTCCTCCACAAACATAACACTTTCAAATAAGGATAGTATTTTTATGGTTACTTTAGCGTCCCTAAAAGCAGGTGAAATCTGCAGGCAAGACTGCCATGTGAGGTACAGTACAAGGTGTACCCGGCACAAGAGTGTCCAACCAAGATGTATGGGGGTTGGAATTCAGCATGAACTCTGCTCACTAGGTTTCAAGCCATGCATGAATGCAACCAAGAGGGAAGAGGAACTTTTTAAATTTTGAAGTATCTTTTTTAGAAATTCCATATAAGGGCCACCATCCAGACAAGTCAGGAGTTCTAATTCATCTTAATATACACAAAAGCACTGGGAAAGAGTTTAGCCTGTAGACCTAAAACACAGCCACCTGGTTCCAGTTAATGAGAGCACAGTAGACCAAGTACAGACAGTAATACTATCCCTGAAACCAAACACTGCGAGCAACTTATAGCTACATATTTTAAAGGTTTAGGAGATGCTTGTACATAGGCAGTTCAGCTGTGGAAAATCTGACCTCTATACCCAACTGGCCACATAAGAAAAAAAAAAAAGGCTACAACTCAACAACAACAACAAAAAACCAACCCAATTAAAAAATGGGCAAAGGATTTTACTTCTTCCAAAGAAAATACACAAATGGTCAACAAGTACATCAAAAGATGCCCAACATCACTAATTACTGTGTATGTGTGGGTGCATATGTGCACTTAGTCGCTCAGTTGTGTCCAACTCTTTACGACCCCGTGGACTGGAGCCTGCCAGGTTTCCCTGTACATGGAATTTTCCAGGTAAGAATACTGGAGTGGGTTGCCATTTCCTACTCCAAGAGATCTTCCCGACCCAGGGATCAAACACACGTCTCTTGCATTGGCAGGCAGATTCTTTACCACTGTGCCATTTGGAAAGCCCCCATTAATTACTAAGGAAATGCAAATCAAAACCACAATGAGATATCATCTTACATCCATTAGGACATCAAAAACAAAACAGAAAATAGCAATACTGGTGAGGATGTTGAGAAACTAGAATCTTTGTGCACTCTTGTTGGGAATATAAAATAGTGCAAAAAAACAGTACAGAGGTTCGTTAAAAAATTTAAAAGAGAATTATTCTATGATCCAACAATTCTATTTCTGGATATGTATCCAAAGGAAGCGAAAGCAGGGTCTCAAAAAGACACTGATTCACTCATGTTCACAGCAACATTATGCACAATAGCCAAAAGGTGGANACAGTCCAACTCTCACATCCATACATGACCACTGGAAAGACCATAGCCTTGACTAGACAGACCTTTGTTGGCAAAGTAATGTCTCTGTTTTTTAATATGATATCTAGGTTGGTCATAATTTTCCTTCCAAGGAGTAAGTGTCTTTTAATTTCATCCATCACCATCTGCAGTGATTTTGGAGCCCAAAAAATAAAGTCTGACACTGTTTCCACTGTTTCCCCATCTATTTGCCATGAAGTGATTGGACCAGATGCCATGATCTTAGTTTTCTGAATGTTGAGCTTTAAGCCAACTTTTTCACTCTCCTCATTCACTTTTATCAAGAGGCTCTTTAGTTCCTCTTCACTTTCTGCCATTAAGGGTGGTGTCATCTGCATATCTGAGGTTACTGATATTTCTCCCAGCAATGATTCCAGGCTGTGCTTCTTCCAGACCAGCATTTCTCATGATGTACTCTGCATATAAGTTAAATAAGCAGGGTGACAATATACAGCCTTGATGTATTCCTCTTCCTATTTGGAACCAGTCTGTTCCATGTCCAGTTCTAACTGTTGCTTCCTGACCTGCATATAGGTTTCTCAAGAGGCAGGTCAGGTGGTCTGGTATTCCCATCTGTTTCAGAACTTTCCACAGTTTATTGTGGACACACTAGTATATATAAAATATCATCCAATAAAACATTTTAATCAAACTGTATTAAAGAGTTCATAGAAAGTTTCCTTAGTCACTTCAGTATTATGAAAAAAGCAAATGACACCATTAATACTCCAAAGAGGTGAAGCAGACTCCTTGACAATTAAATATAATTACTATTTTGCAAACTTTTCTCTGTATTTTTGCATTCAAAAAGTTTGAATATCTCTTACAAGGATAATTAAGACACAGTTCCTGCACTATAAGTGCTGATAGAGAAGAGAACTACTGATTACAGTGTAACATGAGAAGAGCTCCATCAGAGGCAGGTACATGATGCTAGGGGAGTACAGATGAGGGGCTGCTAGCTCAGTATGAGGCCAGGGGCTTCCAAGAGGAGAAAGCTTCTGACCTGAGTCTTAAGAGAAAGTCGGCCAGAAGAATGAGAAGTGGGGGTACTTCAGGCATAGGAACCTGCAACAGGTAAGAACAGAGGTGAGAAGCAGAGCAAACTGTAGGTTCTGCAAATAGACTCTGGTGTAACTGGACAACTAGAAAGGGTGGAAGAGTCAAGAGGGGTAAGGCTGGAGAAGGAGGTGCCACCACGTCGTGAAGCGTCTTGGTCAAAGTGCTACGGAGTTTAGAAATTTCTGGACGGCAACTGGGAATCTTTGAATGATTTTTAAGAAAAGGAGTGACGTGTTCACATTTGTATTTTAAAAAATATACGATTTAGGGCATAACGATATGCAATGGGATTGAAAGTCAGAGGAACACAGTTTATATGAGACCACCACAATCCAATTGTAATTACAAGACTCAAAACAAAAATCTTGGTTGTGAACAGCAGTAATTAATACAACAGTGTAATCCAACCAGACCTCAAAAATAAATTTTTTAAAATATTTACAATAAAACTCAAAACAGGTGCTAAAAAAATTCTTGGTACCAGAAAGCAAATGGATTCCTGAGATCAAGAAATAAAATCAATAGACTGTAGTGACTGATGACATTGGGAAAGTACAGGAGAAAAGTGAGTCTAGAATGATGATAGCTTTTTCTTTGCATATGGTACCATTCATCATGCCAAGGAACAGTGAAAAAAAGATTTAGGCTTGCAATGGCAAAGTGATGTAGCTGGTTTGATACATGAGAAGGCTGAGATCCAGACAGATTTAGATTCCATTAAATTGAGGCTTGAACTAGAGATACAGATTTTGAATCAACACTATATGGCTGAAAGCTGAAACTAGGGGAATAGAACTAAGGCAGGAAGGATCTTTAGAGTGAGAAGGAGGCTGAAGAGAATGTCCTCAGGAGTATCAACATTTAAGGACAGAAAAAGGATTCTTAAAGAGATGAAAAATGAGTTAGGGGCTTCCCTGGTCATTCAGTGGTAAAGAATTCATATGCCAAGGTGGGAAGGTGGGAGACACGGGTTCGATCCCTGATGCAGAAAGATCCCACATCCTGTGGAGTAACTAAGCCGGGGCACCACAACTATTGAGCCTTCGCTCTAGAGCCTGGAAGCTGCAACCACTGAGCCCACGTGCCCAGCTACCGAAGCCTGCACGCCCTAGGACCCACAGCCCTAGGTGCCAACCAGAGGAGGCACCGCAACGAGCCGCCCGTGCACGGCAACGAGAGAGGAGCCCCTGCTCGCTGCAACTAGAGAAAGCCCATGCAGCGATGAAGACCCAGCACAGCCAAAAATAAACAAATTTAAAAACAGAAAAATAAAAAAAAAAAAGAAACAAGTTAGGTGTTACATATCAAAAGACATCTCTAGGGTTTTTAAATATAGGTATTTACTTTACATTTAGTTTTCATTAGATAAAAACTTACAGGCACATTGGTAATGGTAAGTTTATAAAAGACTAAGAGCTGACCATGCTCCCAAAGAAAAAACAACTTGTTTTTAATGTTTTCTTTTTTTCAAAAAGAGGCAGTGAGGGAAGGGAGTAAGGACATGGTCTAAGCTGAAATCCATAAGCACATAGAAGCGGTTTATTAAACCGCGCTCTTACTTTTCAGCAGGACGAAGTTCATGGATAACGGCTAAGAGCTTTGACAGCACCTGCAGTTTTCCAGACTCTTCCTCAGTAAACATGATCGGGTTGTAATCAGCAGGGAACACATTCATCAAGCCTTCATAGAGATTTCTTTCTTCACTCTCATCCCAAGTTGAGTTGCTTTCTTTTTCCTGTTCAAAAGGATGATTGTCAACCCTGGTTCAGGTTTTTTAAACGGGGAGGAAAAAATGCTTAAATTATGGGTAAAAAAAAAAAAAAATGAAGTTTAATAGCTATCTGAAAAGCCCACTCTAATTGTTATGTAAATCTTTAAAGGTCACAATTTGGCCATGTTTGATTACAGTGATTACAGAGCAGTTCTAATGATGTCTCCAAAATGCCTGCTCCCTGAACCCCACAAGGGCCAATGTGTGATCGAGGGGGAGGCGGGTAGCAGAGAAATAAACGGGAGGAAAACAGAGGGCAGACAGTGCTAGGAAATCTGTGCGCTCCGAAACCCTGAGGATCCTCATCACTGCTGCCTCGTTTTGTCTCCTCTTCCCTCCTTCTCTCCCTGCCGTTCCTTCTCTCTCCTGATTTGCAGGCTCACACAGCACCTCCCAGGGGATCCTCAAACTCAAGCACAAACTCAATCTTATCCACTTCTTCTACAAGAAGGAATAATTCTGCCAACACATTAACAGAGAAATTTACTGTTAGTTATAATATTTTGGCTTTTTTACAAAAGGTTTTTGTATATTATTCCAAAGAGATTATCACCACCTCCAAAACGCCCCCGCCAAAACTGACATGTGAGCCCAAAACTGGAGATTACATTTGTTAATGACTGCATCACTTTTTTAGATTAAATTTCTGGGATTGGCAGTCTCCTCACTCTCTCCCACATTTAGCAGATTTTTCACTGTTCTTGAAACTTTGTTCAGCCTATGTCCCCTGCCTGGAATGTTCCGTCACTTTTTTTATTTTGCCCAATTATCCCACTCCTATAAACACTTGAGGACCCAATGCAAATTCCACCTGATTATTCACAGACAACTTTTGGGGGGCATTGAGTCTTAAAACTTTATGGTCACACAGTACATTTCAACTTTGAATTTATTTAGTTGTACAACTAACAATTTTTTTTATAATTCCCTAATGCTTTAATGTGTGTTCGAATCTTTCATTAATAATACTAGAAACATCTTAAGGGCAGTAAATCCTGTAGCATAAACTGCTTGACACAAAGTACTAATTTTAACTTGGCTTATTCACAAAACATAGCAATATTTGCATAAAATCACTTGATTAAAAATACTTGGAACCCTAAGATATTTTACATAATTGGGATATATATGAGAGGAGAGACAGTTGCTGGCTGCTTTGGGTTAGGTTCCCTACACCAATGCCTACACCTTGGCAGGGTTATCAAAGGATGACAGACCCCGGGTCCAATCTACAGCTTTTCATGTTCAGAAACTTGCATATGCTTAAGCTCCAAGGAAATGAGCCATACTAACCAAATTAAGAGACTAAATCAGACTATAAGTTATATAAATTTATTGACCTATAAATGAGGCCTGCCTATTTAAACCGACTGGTCTATGTATTCTGTCCTATAAACAGTCCATGGGGAAACCAAATTATTAGCACTAAGCTGTCTGGTGAACAATAAACCAAAATACAAGGGAGATGAGTGATCCTAAGGCACAAGAGTTCTCTGCCAGGAGCACATAATCAGAATCACTCGGGGCAGCTTTTTCAAAATCTTCATGACTGAGTCCTACTCTCGGAGAATCTGAATGTACTCTAAAGAGCGTCCCTGAAGACTATAATGTATACTCCTAATTAAGAATCAATTAACAGATAACACCTTTATGCTGAGACAGCCTGATGCATGGAGATGCATCACAGAGATTTACCAGTTAGACTTCCCAAATCAACTAGAGAGGGCAATCTCTTCTCTGACTCCATGCAACCCAATACTCTCCTTATAAGAAGATACACATATATCATATGTAAGAAGATACACAGAAATACACAACTCGTATAAGTTGTGACTTATTTTTATTGGTTATATCCATGCACATTTCCTGAAGAGAAACCCATCATTTTGATTGAACTTGGGAAAACAATCTAGTTTCAGTTGGAACACATTTATTAAGCCATTGCTTAAAGGTTACTTATATATAAAGGCTCATTTCAGTCATTTTCTTATTGATCCTTACTTGCTATGATGTTAGAGGGACGGTAAATCATGTCCTCTATTTAAAGTTTGTAGTATACTCTGCCTGTTAACAGTTAAGTGGTACATTCTGGGTCATCATAGGTTTTTTCTTTTAAGGAAGAATTCTGGCTTCTTTTTTTGCTGGGCATCATGCCCAAAGAGTTTAATTTTTATCACTGTGTTTAGAATCTGTTCCTTTAAAAGTTGCTTAATAAATTGTTATAATCCTGTCTACTGCAGAGTTATAGAGAGCTGACTTCTCCTGTGATAAACTATGTAAATATAATCCACTGTAGGAATAAACATGGAGAAATGTGACAGAACACTACATCTCCTAAATACATAATTAATGACCTCTGCATAACGTAGCACCCACAGGTTTTCTTTTGATTTGTTTGCAAATTATTTTACTATTTGAATAAAAATAAAAGAAGAAAAATTAAGGGTGAGTTGGGGATAATAGGGTGTTAATAGTTACTGTACAGCTTCCATGACCAGGCATTCTGCTGGTTCTTTCCATCTTCTTTCATCAAATTGCCTCAATAACATTTTCAGGAGGTTATTTATCTCTGTCTTCCAGTTAAGACAAACTAAAGCTCACAGACATAACCTGGCCATGGTTAAACTTGCTTTCAGTTAAATAAGTAGTACAGAAAAAGAAATCCAAGAAGGCAAAGTTGTTAGCTGAGGAGGCTTTACAAATATCTGAGAAAAGAAGAGAATTAAAAGGCAAAGGAGAAAGGGAATGACATACCAAACTGAATGCAGAATTCCAGACAATAGCAAGGATCATAAAGCCTTCTCAAGTGAACAATGCAAACAAATAGAGGAAAACAACAGAATGGGAAAGACTAGAGATCTCATCAAGAAAACTGGAGATAGCAAGGAAGCATTTCATGCAAGGATGGGCACAAAAAAGGACAGAAATGGTAAGGATATAACAGAAGCAGAAGAGATTAAAAAGAAGTGGTAAAAATATACAGAAGAACTATACAAAAAAGTCTTATATGACCCGGCAAATCACAATGGTGTGGTCCCTCACCTAGAGCCAGACATCCTGGAGTCAAGTGGGCCTTAAGAAGCATCACTATGAACAAAACTAGTGATGGTGATGAAATTCCAGCTGAGCTATTTTAAATCCTAAAAGATCATGCTGTTAAAAAGTGCTGCACTCAATATGTCAGCAAATTTGGAAAACTCAGCAGTGGCCACAAGACTGGAAAAGGTCAGTTTTCACTCCAATCCCAAAGAAAGACAACGCCAAAGAACGTTCAAACTATCCTACAATTGTNAAGACTAAGCACTGAAGAACTGATGTTTTCAAATTGTGGTGCTCGAGAAGACTCTTGAGAGTCCCTTGGACACCAAGGATATCAAACTAGTCAATCCTAAAGGAAATCAATGCTGAATATTCTGTGGAAGGACTGATGCTAAAGCTGAAGCTCCAATACTTTGGCTACCTGATGTGAAGAGACGAGTCAACGGAAAAAACCCTGATGCTGGGAAAGACTGAGGGCAGGAGGAGGTCGGGGCGACAGAGGATGAGATGGTTAGATAGCATCACTGACTCAATGAACAAGAATTTGAGCAAACTTCAGGAGATAGCGAAGGACAGAGAAGCCTGGCGTGCTGCAGTCCATGGGGTTGCAAAGAGTGGGACACGACTTAGAAACTAAACAATGTCAGAGTTGGGACTGATTCTTTGTTCCAAATCCAAAAGAGAAAGTTCTCACTGTAGCCCAAATTGCCTTATGTTCATATTCAAATGGACAGCTCAACTATGCAGCCATTAAAAACCATATTTGTAGAAGGCATCTAATTTGGGGAAATGTCCACAATTTATTTAGTTAAAAAAAATAGATTTTTAAATAATAAGCATAGCATCATTAGAATTAAGTTTCTCTAGAAAAAGACTACACATGTTTATCTTTAAGTTCCTATTTCCTCACCAAAAAATGGAGATGGTAATAATAATACTTCATAAAATTTTGTGAAGTAAAACAATATTAGCTAAGTACTTAGTGTTTTGATACATGGTAAGTGTTTAATAAGCATCAACTAAGATTATTATTACTAATAGCAAATGTGGTTTTCTCTAGCTGAAAAGTTTTACCTCTTTATAACAAATTCCTCAAAGTGGTATTGCCAGGCCACAAGTTACATAAAATTTTAAGGTCTTTGATACACATTGCTAAACTGTCTCCCAGTTGTACCAATTTACATTCTAACCAGTAGATGATTTTTATTTTCTTCTTTGTGATTTTTACAAATTTCCTACAATAATCATGTATTACTTTTATAATGAGGAAAAAATAAATTATTTCCTAATGGTAGATTTTGTATGTGTTAAACCAAACAAACTGACTGGCTTTACTAACATAAAATAGGAAGGGAAGCCAGGACCAAACATTAGGTGAGGCACCAGGGGACATGGGACACAAAATCCAGAAGGCTCTCGAGCCCAGTCCATCCCCCGTTTAGCCCTATGAATAAGGACATGCTCTGAAGAACAAGCAGAAGGCTGGATGAGCTCAGAGAAGAATCTCACTGGAGAGGCTGTAACCTCAGGGATCAGTCTCATCTGCCCTCTTGGGTTCATATGACACAGAACCCTCAGCTCATATTCCTGACACAGTCTCACGCACTACTTACCTTTATTGAGCCAAACAAAAGGCAGGGGTGATTGCACAGTTTTTTAAGAGCTCCGATACATATTAGATGAGAAGTATTTTCCAACAATCCTTGAAGACAGAATCTGACGGCCTGAGAATTTAACAGTTTTCTATAAAGTTCAATCTGTAGGGCTCCTGGTCGGCAAAAGACTACATTCTCTATTTTAGGAGGGAGATATTTATTTATGACTTCTTGGGTTCTTCTAAGGATGAAGAGTCCAGTGAGGCAAGTAAGTTCAGCTGCTCTTTGCTCTCCTAACTTCCTTTCTTCCTATGGAAAAACAGCAGACTTAAAAGTGTTTTAGACAAAAAAAAATACATGCAGTTAAAAAGAATATTAAATATTTTATCAAGATCAAACATTTACTAATTGCTTCCCTTCAGATTTATTTTAAACAAGAATTATTTGAAATACAGCTTAGAATAGAAAAACCAACAATCATCTCTTTAAATGTTTAGCATAATCATTTAATTAAGTGAAGCCACAGTCTCCGAATCCTTGCTTGTTTGGCTACCACCACCACTGAGAACCACTGGAAATCAATAATCTACAACTGAATTATCTGAAAGTAATCTTTTATATGAAGATACAATGGTACAACAGTCTTAAAATCATTATCAAAGCACTAAAAAAGCAAATTCTTGGAAGAAAATATTTTTACAATTACTGATCCTAAAACAAAGCCTTTAAGAAATTACTGGCACAAGGAGCTGCTGACTCTTTAAAAATCATTACATATAACACATCATTATATAATGTGTTCATTATATAATAGTACATCTTTAAAGTCAAAATACAATATGAATGAAACATATGTTTAAATTCTCTACATAGAATCTTCTAGTCTTCTACACTAGAATCTTCACAGTATAAGTATATATTTGTTTCTATACAAATCATGGAAAATTTCCCTTATATTTTAAAACTATTTTCAATTTTTTATTACAAAAAAACTGGGTCACAGGTCATAAAATACAGTGATACAAAAATAAAAAAATTAAAGCTAACTTTCATCAACCAGAAATAGCAAACGCTGTCAAAATTTTTTATAAATATTTTCAAAATCATTTTATTTGAATATGCAAATATTAGATGTTTTATTTTTATTTGTTATAAAAAACATGATCTGAAACAATAAAGCTTCATGAAAATTAGAAACCAGTTTGGCTTATCATCATAGTCCCCGGTGTCTGGCACTTAGCATTTGACCCACTTGAGGGATTTCATATGTAAGTGCTGGGGAAGTAAATGAATGTGGTCTTATTTTTAAATAATGTATTATAAACATTTTCCTTTCTATGAAATATATGTATAAATAACTATTTTTATATGGTTCCTGGTTCATGGAAATTGCTCAGTAACTATGTGTTAACTAATCACAGTATTGTATTAGTTCTGAAATTTTTTTTTCTCAATTTAACTGCTCTGAAATAGGATGCTTTTACAATTGATGACTTCTTACAATTACAACTGACAGTGTTTTGCTACTGGTACAAAAAATAATGGTGCATCCTAGAATTAATAGTATAATAGATGCTATGAAATATATACAACATATAGCATCTAACTTAGATTTTTCTATCTTCAGTTCAGTTCAGTCGCATCCAACTCTTTGGGATCCCATGGTCTACAGCATGTCAGGCCTCCTTGTCCATCACCAACTCCCAGAGATTACTCAAACTCATGTCCATAGAATCGGTGATGCCATCCAACCACCTCATCTTCTGTCATCCCCTTCTTCTGCCTTCAATCTTTCCCAGCATCAGGGTATTTCAAATGAGTCAGTTTTTCACATCAGGTGGCCAAAATACTGGAGTTTCAGCTTCAACATCAGTCCTTCCAATGAATATTCAGGACTGATTTCCTTTAGGATGGACTGGTTGGATCTCCTTGCAGTCCAAGGGACTCTCAAGAGTCTTCTCCAACACCACAGTTCAAAAGCATCAA